ACTACAAATTGTTTGCCTAACGAACACACTAAGTGTTTATACTCTCTCTGAGAAGAAAATAATGCAGCAAAATGAAGAGGATGTTTGCAGAATTATGAAGGACGAAAATTAGAGTTCCAAAATCCAAATGAGGGTTGTCCTATTTATAGATGTAATGGTGGCTGTAGGTTTTGAATTGAATAGGTATGAAACCTGTTGGTTTTGAATTCAAACAGATTTGAATCTGTTGGATTACAATTCAAACAGATAACAAAAATGGGAAGGGCCCTGTTTGGGTGTACAGTAAATCCGAACCAGTTTAATTCCGGTTTAAAACCAGGAAGGGCCATGTTTGGATGTACAGTAAAACCAAACCAGTTTAAATTTTGAATTCTGGATTTTATTTTACCAAAAATAAATTAAATTCAAATATTTTTGGCCAAAAAAGATTAATATTGGGCCGAATAAGCCCAACCCAACCATGCACCCGCGCCCAAGCCCAGCCCGGACAGGCGACGTGTGTAGTTTTTGGGTCTGATGAGTCTAGCCCATTTTGCCCATAACCTCTCTCTCTAAAACAGTTGGGTACCCCTTGGGGCACACCCCAAGTACCAAACCCAAGCCTTATAAACCCATTCAAAACTTCCCACCAAATCAATGTGGGACAAACTATTTTACAACCTTAAGCAATTTCCACCAAAACTCCATTTCCATGGAGCACACTTTATCTTCAATTTTTCATTTACTCGGTAATTGTTTTGAGCAACCAAATATACCACGTGAATCACACGCAGCATAGATCACGTTACCACTTTGACCCGCAAAAATCGACGCACGGGGCCCACCTAAAAAATAGACCAAACTTAAGATAAAATTTTGATTTTATCCAGAATTTATAACCATTTCCAACACTTAATATTTCTCTTGTTGTTTTGTCAAATACTTTAGTAAATTAACTCAATGACATTCAATTTGTAATCTAGGTTGTGTATGCACCAAAAAATATTTATTTTTATTTTTTTAATGCTCATGTAATTCAATGACCTTCAGGAAGATTCTGAATTCGAGTTCTCGCAATTAGAAAAAATGGGGACAAATATGCCAATAAATAAACACACCTCCCAATTTTGATAGAAACACTACCGAGTATACCACACTTGCACAAGATTATCTGTAGAAAATTAAGGACATGAGAGCACCATTTCAGTAAGATTAAATAAACATTTTAGTATAAAAGGAATGAGAATATTTTTTTTTATTTATATGACCAGTGTTTTTAAAAGCTTAAGGCGCACTAAGGCACTGAAGGTCTCTCGGAACTTAGGCGCAAGGCGCAAGGCGTAAGGTGAGGTGCGGGCTTTATTGAAGTAAGGCGCACAGTCTTAGTAAAAATTAAAAAAAATTAACATAGACTAATCATTTATAATACAAAGACAATTTTTTTAAAAATAAAAAGTAATCAAGATTCAAGACAAAATATAAAATAATTCTCAAAGTCATGAAAGTGCACATTACATAACATGAAAAATCATTTTCTACAATCTACACAACAAATTTAATAAATGGAAAATCATTTCAGTGTAATGTAATGTGTGATGAATTAATTATTTGTAATTTTTTTTCCCTAACAGATAAATGAAAAAAAAACCAATAGCACATTGTATTAATTAATTATTTGTGAATAATTAATTATTTGTAAAAAAATTTTCAGTGTATTTTTTTTAGTTAATTAATCAGAATCAGAATCCATTTTTCCCCCTAACAGATAAAAGGAAAAAAAAAAGGCCAGCAGCACATTATATTAATTAATTATTTGTAATTTTTTTTTAGCGTATTCTTGTTAGTTAATTAATCAGAATCAGAATTTATTTTTTTCCACTAACAGGTAAAGGAAAAAAAAAAGACCAGTAGCATTGTATTAATTAATTATTTGTGAATAATTAATTATTTATAATTTTTTTCAGTGTATTTTTTTTAGTTAATTAATCAGAATCAGAGACTCAAACCAGTAGCACCTTATTTTGTCCTATTAATCAGACCAGTAGCACCTTATTTTGTATTTGTATGTATTTATTTATTTATTTTTTCGTAACAGAGACTAAAAGGCATAATAAAAATAAAAAAAAAACAAACAAACAAACAGAGTCGAAGTCGAATTGAAGCCATAAGAAGAAGAAGAAGAATATGGGGAGAGAGAGAGTGTGAGATCAGAAAACCAGAAGAGGTTGAAGCAAAAAAAAAAAAAAACCCAGTCGAAGAGGTCGAGCAGACCAGAAGACCAGAAGAAGTCGACCAGACGACCAGAAGAAGAAGAAGAAGAAGAAGATGGCGAAGCATACCTGCAAAGTCGAAGTCGAAGTCGAATCGAGCAGCCCAGTCGAAGTCGAAGTCCAAGGCGAGGCGAGAGAGGAAAAACGACATAGATTAGGGTTCATTTCAGTCGTATTTGGTCATATTGTACATGAGTTGTAATCCTCTGTGGTTAAGAGCCATTCAAACACACCCCCGGAGACGTTATATT